ATAATTAGTCCGAAGAGAATAGAAGCGTGTCATGCCTTGGCTCCATAGAGGGAGCGTGTAGGCATGTCGCCGGATTTAAGAATGGTTGTCGGACACGACGAATTTCAGGGTCCCCTGTTCCGCTTTTTAGGTGTATCGGGAATGTTTTATTGTATATAGCCTTCAAAATATGTGTCTTGTATGATTGAGTGTATTTATTAGAGTGAATGGGGAGGGGCTGGTGGTCGAATAGCATTCCCATCGCCCCTCGAGCTGTGTACGTGACTTGGGTCAATACGGTAATATTTATAAAATCACCTTCAAAATGTGTTTTGTATGAGTGAGTGTATTTATTAGAGTGAATGGGGAGGGGCTGATGGTCGAATAGCATCTCCATCGCCTCTCGAGCGTGTACGTGACTTGGGTCAATGGGAGAATATTTATAAAATTACCTTCAAAATATGTGTTTTGTATGAGTGAGTGTATTTACTAGAGTGAATGGGGAGGGGCTGATGGTCGAACAGCATCCCTATCGCCCGATGAGCTCTGACTCGGGTCGATGGCGGAATGTTTACGAAAATACCCCATCGACCAATTATATTAATTTTTTATTGTATAGAGGCCGATGGAGGAATAATGAGTACTCCATCTACCAAATAGAATGAATGCAATGTGTACAAGTGTGAATGTATTTATTAGTGTGAATGTGTGTTGCACTATTTCGCGGGTGCTCGGTACTGAAATGAACAAGCTGCCCCTTAAAAAAATTTTAAAAAATCACATTCGACTATCCTCGTTAGTGTTCGTCGAGGGATAAAAGAAGGTAGAAAAAAAGCACTAACACAGGGGAAAAAAAGGTTAAATCTAACCGTTGGTAACCAACAATTTAAAAAAAGTTATATAATCAGCTGAATAAAATTAAATCAAAAATATATTTAATTAATTATCAATATTAAAAATTCTTAACAATTTAATGTATTTTAAATAAATTTATAATGTTGTACGCATTGAAAAACTGTAAACTAGAGTACTTCATATTTTGATTTCGTATTTTCCTGTACCATTCACTCTTTGTGTTTTACGTCATGTAGAATATGTTTACGCATGAGTAAATAAAGAAATCCAATATTTTCATCACATTTTTAAGCATTGTGTTTTAACTAGTGCAGTGTTTTGTGAAAATTAGGCTGAACCGTTTCATTTAATGCTAAAAATCGACTTTTTTAGGACGAAGGTTTGTTGACAACAAGGCTTAGTGTCGGTATTTTAAAAAACCGATACATTGAAGTCTTGAGGGTTTTTGCCAACACTAATGGTAACTGAGCCGTGAAAAAAGAGATATTTTCTGCTTTTATACACACGATTCATTCATCGTTAATGGAACTAAAATGTAGTTGTGGATGTTGTATTTACGAAGGATGGGTAAAAGGTAAAGAACTGCTTTTCTTTGGAATTTATGGCGCCTCGTGCATCAGTTTAGCCAAACCCATCGGTCATGATGGTTTAGCATAATAACGAGCCGTGAAAAGAAATACTTTCTGCTTTTTTTATTTTTAAATTTGCCTATCAACGTGACTGCTACTAGTGGTTGAAGTATTCTTACAAATTGAAAGATAGATCAAGAGAGAAGGAAAGAGAGAAAGAGAGAGAGAGAGAGAGTCAAGTACTTCATTATCTTGAAAATTACGTCCACAATTTTAGTTCTGCCTGTTCCACCAGTATAATAATTTAGTAGTGAACAGTAAATACTATTTTCCCTAGGTCTAGAATTAAAGAAAGATAAGGCGATTATGTGTGAGTTTAAAGTTATATTTTCTCGTGGAATTCACGGCGCTCAGTTCATTCATTTTGCACGACCTGCCAGTCATGACGGTTTAGCATACTTGACGCGCCGTGAAAGAGTGAAATTTTGTATTGTTACGCAGGAACTGAAAATTCGCCGTTTCCACTCCATAATTATCTTTGCTTGTTCTTCTTCAATTTTATACCATCAATTATCTGTCTAAAATGGTTCATACATACCTATTTGAGTCAGTCGTAAATTTTCATTAAAAAAAAGGTCTACCGCTGTTCAAAACGGTTTAATTTTCAAGGACATAAAAAATTTAGACAAACGCCGAAGAAAAATGCTTATTCCAAAAGTTGTTTACCTTGTTTAGAGCGGGATATTTTTCTCTAGAAGAGAAATGACGTTGAGGTAGGCCAGACAGACAAACTGAACGCGTTAATCGACAAAACGTCACGATATTTCAGCTGAGATAAAGCTTCGGTATCGCAGACATGTGAACTATTTACAAAACCTTTGGTTTGTTATATACTTCAAACGCAGGACGCATTAAATCAATAATTAAATTGGTTGAAATATAGCAGAAGGTTAGCTTTTACAATTGATCTATTATTAACGGCGGGATCAGAATCACTATAATTTTTTAAATAGACAAAATATAACTTCTGTTATTCAGCTCTTAGTTCTCTGAATGTGCTGATGGGTTTTTAATAATTAACCACAAAACAGGATTGAGCATATTAATTTTAAACAAGACCGAAAGGGGTTTTTATATTTTATTCAAAACTCTTTTATGAAGTTAAATTAACTTCTTCAGTGCGAGTAATTTTTTTGACGACTCGGGTCCTAACCCGGCAAACATTAAAATGTAGCACAGTTTAATAAAAAAACAAAGCTTAATACACCAAATAAGATTTGTTTGCCAGTTTATTAATAATATCAAAAGCCTGCGTGGTGAATAAAGCATATTTTTTTCTTTCACGAAAGATAATTAACTCGTATGATTTTAATTATGCCCGAATTAGAAACTATTTTTTACTCGTTTCATTTAAAAGAGGGAGACAAAAATAGATAATGCATTATAATGGCAGTGCGCGTTAGAGATTGGAGAGGAAAAACTTGACATGATCCTTACAAAACAGTAAGGTTTCAGTGCGGTCAAAAAAAAATTATTGTAAAAAAATTGCAAATTGTGAAAAAAAATTGTTAAAACGCAACATTGACTCAGAAAATCAAACTGTGTATAAACAATAACAAAACTCCATTATACGACAAGTTAAAGAAGAATCTAAATTTTCAATTTTCTTATAATCCTAAAACTTTCTATAAAAACAACCATTTTCATAGCATACGATGGAACAGAAAAAATAATATATTTTATTCTGTTTTTATTCAAAAGTGAATTAAGTAGAAAATAAAATTTACTATCCAAGCAAAAATAAACTAAAAAGGAATAGTTAAAGATGAAAACGTGCTAATACATGAATACTGACTACATTTTAATAAATTATTATAAAAAGAAATACGTCCAAATGCAAGCACACAAAGAAAGTATGGATAATCGAAATAAATTATTAATAAAATACTATATTCTTTTTTATTCCTCCTTGGTTCAAATAATCCGTTTATCTTTCGAGACTGATTTTATGATCAGATAGAAACTATATTTATCAAATATATTTCATATTTATGTAGTATGAAAAAAAAACTGAGAGGTTTTATTATTATGAAAAATTATATACAGTAGTCTCCCGCTGTTTTTTCAAAAATGCGCATTAGCCAAATACTTTCGATAGTAGTAAGCTAGTAGTAAAATAGGTCTGATTGGCACACCAGAGGAGGTGAAACACACACGTGTAAGTTGAAAAATAAGCTTCAGAAAAAAGCAGGAAAATAGTGATGGTGTAGTTGTGTAGTCGCAATTTTTGACCTATCGGCTTCTCCCCGAACACAGTTTTCAATAAAAATTTTGGCTGAAAACCACCACTAAAGACGAGAAAACGAAGATTCTGACCAAAGCAATGATGATAGACAAAACATGAAATGATTAAACCACGCAGACCTCACAATTTTATGATTTTAAGAAAACTCGGGAGTTAAAATAGGGGGGAGGAGTCTTGCACAATACAGCAAGACAAACTACGTATAAAATGCTTTTTTTTAAATAATCATTATAATAATAATTTCAATAAAAAAGCGCAAAGTATACTTTTATTTTGTCTTTTTTAAACTGTGTACAAACTGGCAGGAAATTATGAATGAATGAAAAAAGTACTTTACTAGATAAATAAAAGAGAGAAAAAATTGCACATGACGGCAATGGTTATCAACCGTCTACTGGAGTCGTACTATAAATTTTTAATAAACAAACAAAACAGGACTAAAAAATAATTTTTTCTCAAGGAATAAACAAAAGAAAAAAAACTATATAAGTAAACTAAAATATCTATGTATATTTACATTCACTTATAAACATATAAATAACCAGGGTGCTTCTTATGTATACATTAAACTTTTAATAATAGAAACAAAAAACTAGTTTTTTCCTGTAGTTCCAGACTTCCACCGCAAACTTTACTAAATTTAAGCACTCGGAGTTTTGTAATAAAAAGGTGGTCTCTTGTCAACGTGGGCAAGCCTATATGCCGTCCTCGGAATTCCGCTAAAACTAAGCATTCTGCTAAAAAATGAAAATAATCTTCTCGAGCCTGCCTGTTCCAGAGAGAGAACTTATCGGAACTATTCTTTCTTTTGGAAGGTAAAGTAATTCGCACCTAATGAAAAAACAGCGAGCTAGCGGAATGGATGGAATTTTAGAACTTTGCGCTATGTTCAAGGAAGGTCGATTGATATTAATTTCCTTATACAGCAAAAACCTAGAAGAATTTTGAGCAAGAAAAAGACATCTTTCTGTGTGAGAGGTGCGGATATGGTTGATCAATTTTGAGTGTAAAAGTGGAAAATTCTAGATGTTTCATCATAGTTCAAATTACATAATAAAAACGAGAATTGATTCAGTGTTTCATTTTTAGTGCGAAAATTCCTTACAATTTATAAAAACTTAATAAGACAAGAAAAAATACGCTTTTAGGATATGTTGGACATGTTACACTACAGAATTTTTTTTTATGCTTAAGGTGGAAAAATTCTTATCGGACGGCATATCGGGTGAAAACGTGTTTATGTGATGAGCAAGATGGGTAAAGATTAGTTTAAAATGAAAATCATCCCTTACCTATGGGGTAGGCGGAGAGGGCGAAGATCGCGGCGACGAGGTACATGTTGTCGGCGGTCGGGGGTGGCGTGGTGCTCACGAATGTGCCATGATCCGTACTGGAAGGCGGAAAGTTGGAGGCGGAAGGTCTCGCTGCCCGCATGCGCCGCTGGAGAGCACGGCAAGACTCAAGAGTATGTTCCGACCCCCGAAGATCGCACTTTTTGGGTCTATGGGACCGACGGTGAAATTAAAAAGTAAATATTTCGAAATATCCAAGGACGGCCAACCTAAATAAATGACCAATAGATATTATAAGCCGACCAAAATTACATATATTGACTCGGTTTTGTTTTAAAATGCTGCTGAATTTTTCTATTTTCTAATGCTGTGTTTGACGTAAATGCCATTTACACCAAATTATTCTAATAACTATAATATATATTTTATTGCACAATATGGTATAAACATTAAATAATACAGGGCTGATGCAAAAATATTTAGTCAAAACTTTTTTTAATTTTTATAAAATGACGAAAATTTATTCGAAATTATTATTCAGAAATCGTGAGATGCGGTCTGGTGAGATGTAGGTTTCAGAAATACATTTTCTTTATCGTGCTGACGTTTCGATCTTTATTGAGATCATCTTCAGGGCTCAAAGTGTTTGTCTTCTGTGTAATTGTGCCATTCTTGCGTGTCGTGTAGAGTGCCAGTGAAACCTACAGTGACCGCATCTCACGATTTATGAATAATTATCGATTAACGGTCACTAATCACTACACATTTATTCGAAATCGTGGTCCGATTGATCAAATAATTTCTTTTAATTAATTAATCTTTATGTAACATAGTAGAAATGAAAAAGTTAGTGTCACGAACGGGATTCGAACCCACGATTCGGCTTAATACGCCGCTGCTCTAACCACTTGAGTTATTGAGCCAAAGGTCGTGGGTTCGAATCCCGCTCGTCACACTAACTTTTTCATTCAACCAATACCTTATATAAATATTAATTTATACGAAATATTTTCCATCACAATCTATACATCTTTGCTAACATGTAATAAGCGCTTTTATCTCATCGACATAAAAAAATTTATTTCGACTCACAATAAAGTCTTGGAAGGAGATTTCGGCTTCAACGCATGCTGTAAAAATTGTATCCATTAAGAAGTGATCAAAATGCCTAAAAATGCCTGTAGGCGAGAGGTCGAGTGAATATGGAGGGTATGGTGAAGTTTCATATCCTAAGTCCTTAAGTTTCCACAGGGTTAGCATTGCGACATGTGGCCTGGTATATATCGTGAAGTCCATTATAGTTTACCAATGCTGGACAAAGATGTAGCAGTTTCCCATGGATTTTGTCAATTTCTTGGCAATATGTCTCTGCTGTGATAGTTTAACCATAATTCAGCAAATTATAGTGAACCATCAGTACACCACCAAACAATCACAATAACCATTTTTGGGTGCAGATTTGGTTTGGGGAAGAGTTGTGGTGTTTCATCCTTGTCCAACCACTGCACTGACTGTATGCCTTATTATCGTTCACAATAAAATTTCCATCATACGTGGATTCGATCGAAAAATTGTTCATGTTGGTAGTACAACAAAAAAGATGTGCAAACTTCAAAGCGTTGATTTCTTAGGGCTTCGGTTAGTTTGTGCAGTACCCATTTGTCAAGCTTCTTTACTTTACCCATTTGATCCAGATAGCGAACAACGGTTGAGTCAACACTAAACTTTTCCGCTAAATCCTGTGTTGCCTTATGTGAAATTAAAAAAAAAAAAAATACATACTTTTAAATTTTATTTATTTTTTGTTTGAACCTTGAATATTCAATGAAAATTATTATTAATTTTTAAACTTGACTCAAATGATTTTGTGATTCAACGCAAATTCATTTCTAAGGAAAGCACGTTTTATTAACAGTTAAATTTCAAATTACATCCAAACGTATTTAAGGGGAACAGGAGAAGGTACATTTGAACAACAGGAGAAGGTAAATTTAAAAATAAAAAATCCGATTATAGTACAAATGACAACCAATTCACCTTGATCAATGCCTGGATCAACTTTTTTTTTTCTTTTTTTCTAACGAGGTTCGCAACAGCAGAGGTGAGGTCATATAAACCCTCAGGGTACCGGTGTTTTTGAAAAAAAGCCCATTTGTAAGTATGTCGGGTTCGAATGCAGGGCCGCTGGATTCGAACCCGGGACCTTTACCTTACAGTGATGAGTGCCGTGTCAAAGACGAAACCTTGCGGCCACCGACGCCCCTATGATCAATTTCTTACAACTAAGTTAACAATAAAAATAAACAATCTGTCTCTTTTTGTATAAATTTTTCTTCCTTTGATTTGATTGACTGATTGCTTTTATTTTATAAATTAAATAAAAATATCTCAGATAAGATGTGACCCACTCCATCTGTGCTTTGACTGGCACAACTGGAGCAGTATGGGTTGCTGATATTATACAAGAATTCAGTATTGTAACTGGGATCAAACAGGGAGCCTTACTTAGCCCCCTCCTTTTCACATTGTTCTTAAATGATTTTGAAGACGTACATAATAGGGGTCATCATCGGAGAAACCAAATGATTTTTCAAAACTGAGAGGATATTCAAAATTGGAGAAGTGTTAAGAGCTACAAACTCCTATTGGTCATCCCATCGCCAGCCCTCTTTTTTATAGTCCTGAACATTAATCCTAAGTAACCAACTCTCTTTGCTTTATCATAGCCTCTCTGTACCTAAGGGTCTCATCAATAATAACCCAACTATACATACAAACATAAGATAAAACATGATGGACTGGTTAGCATACTGGATACTTAACATTCCTAGGGATATTTGAGGATAAACACCTCAGCCATGCTAATAAATTAAATTCGCGCATCAGACTTTGTTCACACCACCCCAGTGTACTTCATATTCATCAGGGTAATTGGGGATAAGCCCCTCATTCGTACTAATAAATTACATACGCACACCAGACTTTGCTCATATTATCCCAGAGAACTTGATATGCATGTAGGTAATTGGGGATAAGCCCCCCCCCCCCCCATTCACACTTATAATTTACATTCACATTCCTGACTTGTTCACACTACCCTAGGGTATACTCTATATTCCTCAAGATAATTGGGGATGAGCCCTTCCATTCTCGCTAATAAATTACATTCGCACACTAACTCCATTCACACTACCCCAGAGTACTCAGTACTTTTTTAAAAAGATAGTTCCTACTCACAAAAAAGGATTGAACACCACACTCACTCCATCATTTATCATTTCTATTGAGTACTCAATATTCCTCGAGGTAATTGGGGATAAGCCCTTTCATTCAAAATAATGAATTACTTTCAAACATTCATTCTCAGTACCACACAAAACTTGATTTTCCTCGAGGTAATTGGGGATAAGCCCCTCCGTTTCCACTAATAAATTACATTCACACACTAATACTTTTTAAAAGGATAGTTCCTACTCACAGTAAGTTGTTTTGCAACGATCCGGATTTCGAGCCTTTTAGCTCATCATCAGGTTGTAGAAGTCCTTCAGCCTGATGATGAGCTAAAAGGCTCGAAATCCGGTCGTTGCAAAACAACTTACTGTGAGTAGGAACTATCCTTTTAAAAAGTATTGAACACCACACTCACTCCATCATTTATCATTTCTATTCACACACCAACTCCAGTCAAACTACCCCAGAGTACTCAGTATTCCTCAAGGTAATTGGGGATAAGCCCTTTCACTCACAATAATGAATTACTTTCAAACAATCATTCTCAGTACCACACATTACTCGATTTTCCTCAAGGAAATTGGGGATAAGCCCTCCATTTCCACTAATAAACTCCACTCACACTACCCCAGGGTATACTTTATATTCCTCAAGGTAATCTCGAATAAGACCTTCCATTCAAGCTAATAAATTACATTCACACACTAACTCCATTCACACTACCCCAGAGTACCCGATATTCCTCGAGGTAATTGGGGATAAGCCCTTCCATTCGCACTAATAAATTACATTCACATTTCACACTGCCTACACGTAATTGATATTCATCAAGATAATTAGGGATAACCTCCTACATTCGTGCTAATAAATTACATTCCCACACCAGACTTCATTCACACCACCCCAATGCACTTGCTATTCACTGGGGTAATCAGGCATAAACCCCTCCAATCAAGCTAATTAATGACATTCACATTCCACAATTATTTCACATTTCACAGTGCCCAACATGTATCAATCTCTTGAATTTATAAAAGAATTTAAATACTAGGGATCACTATCTCAATTTAATTGTCATTAATTTATTTTTCTAAAAAAAATTCAGTAAGGCACTTAACAGTGTATGGTTCAAGCATATAAATAAATCCAAACCATTCTAAAATAATTTTAATCTGCCATGCAATTTTAAACTGTAATCAGGCTTCATCTTCTTCTTAAAGTAGAAAAATTATTGGTAAAATAAATAAATGAGAAAACAGTATTAAATTATTTTAATTTATATTTAACTTTATTTAATTGCCAAGGTACAAATATACAATCGGGCACAAGTCACCCGGAAAATAATCACAAATCGTATTTAATTGTTCAAAATTGAAATTTATATTAAAAAATAGTTTTTATTCCAACTATTAAAAGAAAAAAAAGAGGTTTTCATTAATGTACAAAAATCATCTTTTTCAATGACTTTCTACACAAATTACTAAAATAAATGACAAGCATATAATATATATATACACAAGTAATTAATGTACATTAAGTAATAAATGGGATAGCCCTCTAGAAGTAGAAAACAAATCACTTTTTTGACTTCTTCCTTTTCTTTGACTTTTTGTGGCTTCTATGTTTATACCTTCGCCTTTTCTTTTCCACTTCTGAATCAGAGGATGAGCTCGAAGAATCCGAGTCTGATGACAGCCCGTGCTTCTTCTTCTTTTTCTTCCTCCTGTGTTTTTTAGATTTTTTCTTCTTCTTGTGCCTCTTTTCCGATTCATCGGAACTAACACTCGAATCTCCAGAAGAAGCTTGTTTCTCTTCTTCCTGAGTTACTTTCATTTTTTTGGTTTCTTTTTCTACATCGACGCTACGAGATCTTTTGTTTTCTGCCACCCTTAACATTTCGGATTTGGCCGGTTCCAATTTAGAGGAATCAGCTGTTGAAGAATCCTGTTTTGAAGTTTCCGCTTTTGAAGGTTCTGGTTTTTCTTCTTTCTCCGTTTCATGGTCAGATTTTTCATAATCCGGTTCAAAAACTTCCTCCAAAGGTAATGTTTTTTTGAGTTCAGGAGGTTTGACTTTTTCGGCGAGTTTCATATCTCCCCACTTATCCCTTTCCTTTTCTTTTTCTTTCTCACGATCTCTCGGTTTTTCTTTGTCCCTGCTTGACCTCTCCTTTGTCACAACACTCTTTGGAGGTATTTTCTCGAACTTAATTTCCCTCCTGTCTCCTCGAACTTCTCTTTTAACAACAAGTTTGTCTTCAACTTTGGCACCAAGTCTCTCCTTGGCAGAAATCCTTTGTGGCTGTGGCTCTTTTTTATCAGTATTTCTCTGCCTGTCCTGGCTCTCCGGTTTAACGGGTAGAGCAACAGAACGAGGAGTATCTTTAGAAGAATGCCTCCCTTGTCTATCATCCTTCTCTGACTTCCTATATCTATCCCTATCAGCATCTCTTTCAGAGTTCCTCTCCCTGTACCTTTCTCTATCATCCCTTTTGTCTTTCTCTCTGTGCCTTTCTGGCCTTTCTGCTTCTTTTTCCGTGACTTTCCTCTCTTCCCTGTGTTGTGGTTTTGTTTCCAATTTTTCCTTTTTGACAACTTCTAAACGCCTTTCTGGCTTCTTTGTTTCTATTGTCTTCAGTGGATTGACAACTTTTTTAAATATTGCATTTTCAGCCCTTTTGAGAACTTCAGAAGTGACTTGCTTACTCTCATCATTCCCAGAAATGTTGTTCTCTTCGGAAAGATTGAGAGTTTCTTCTTCTTTTTCCCATTTGGACAATTCAGGAACTGGAGCGAGGACAACATCTTTGTCAGGTAACTCTTTGGGCTCTTCTTGAATTCTACCAGTTCCTTCCCTGTCTGTCTTTGATGATGATGATTCTCCATCTTTGCTCTTGATTGAGTCCTCTTCTAAACCATCTTCTGTCCCGGGTTCTATACTTTCGTTTGTACTAAGCGTCTCAGAGTCTTTCCTATCTGCTTTATCCTTGCTCTTTCTTTTTTTCCTCTTTTTATCTATCTCTTCTTTCTTCTTTTTCTTCTTTTCTTTAATCTTCTTCTCCTTCTCGGGGGATTTCGAAGGAGCCTTCTCATCACTAGGTTCTCTCTTGACGTCGACAAGTACCCTGCCTCTTTCTTCTTCCATCACTCCAGGTGGATAAATCTCCCTTGTAGTACCCTCGATAATTTCGACTGGCTTGACAGGTTCTCTCTTCCTTAATTTATCAGATCCATAAAATTCTTGCTGCTCTCTCATCTCCCGTTTCCTTAATTCGAGTTCATGATCCCTCGCCTTTTCCCAATTCAGTGGTGGAACCTTATACCTGAGATCTGCTTCGTCATACTTGAGATCTCTAGGTTCTTCATCGTACGAACGTTTGGAATAAGTTCTATCCTTTTCCCGTTCTCGGTCAATTCTCTCTCTTTCCCTATCACGATCCCTGTCCCTGTCTCTATCTCTATCCCTGTCCCTATCCCTGTCTCTGTCTCTGTCTCGCTCCCTATCCCTGTCCCTCTCTCTGTCATGATCTCGTTCCCTGTCTCTCTCCCTGGAAGGCGGAATGTAACGAGGTTCATATCGCTCACTGTGCCTATAAAAAAAAGGAAACAAAACAATCAAATTAGTACCATTTATTTTAAAAATTTCAAAAAATGTACCCCCAAATATCCCTAAAAAGAAAGACCCTGTTGTTAGATTTCCTCATAAAAAAACCTTACCCCTTTTTAATATAAAAATTTCATAAAAAAAACATTTTTTGTATAATTTAAAATGAAAAATCATCGAACTCCCACATCGTCCATGGTGTTTCTTTGACGGTGAGGCTACTGCACTGTAACATTCTACACATATTACTAAAATCAAAATACCAAAACTAGCCAGCCCAACCCAATTTATATTCAACTAAAATATCATGCATACAAATGTTTAAATGAAATTTTTTTTAAAGGTCACCAAAATTTATAAAATAAAATGGCCATATTTCAGATTGTAAATACTTACATGACCTATTTTGTTTAGTTATTTTCAAATGGTGAAAACAAGTACTAACCAGTACACCTTCAGTTGTACCTCTTTCAATCCTCCATTATTTCATGCGATCAAATTTACAATAATTTGCGTGTCGAAATAACAAAATACATATAAAATCTCACTAAACAGTGACTCTAATATTTCTGAAAGTTAAAAATCAGAACATGGACTGATATAATCAAAAGCTGGATTTAAATTAATAAATTGAACTTGTCTAAATTGAAGGAGTTTACGCTCGAAGAGAACATAACCCATGATAAATTCCAGCCCTAAAAATTACGTTCTACATATAAAGTCAGACTATATTTATAATATAGTTATATATTTTTTATTCAAACATTCGATTTTTCTAATTTTTAAGTTTACCTTTTATATCCTTGCCTATCAAAATTATGAAGTAAAAAAATGGTACTTAACATTTTTTTTTTTTTTGTAAAATTGATTCAATTTCCAGACAAATGGACCAAAAGTGAAATATGGTTATTCCTTGAAGAAATAAAAAAAATTATAAATGAAAATAACAATTTTGAACTAGGAAGTACATATTAAAAAATTATAACTTACATATGCTAATTCATATAAGTTATGGCATGTATAAGTTATTTACTCTCTTTTGGCTTAGAAAATTATCTTGATTAAAATGTTATTATTTATTATTAAGATTATAATTGATTTGTTATTAAGATGTTATAATTGATTAAAAATAACACACAGAATCAAATGTAATCTAATGATTTGTAGTTGGCAAAAGCAAGCAATGGGCAAATAAAAAATGGTTTAAAACCTGTCCAGATCTAATAAAAATGATATTTGATTTTTATAAACAAAACAAATGATTTCAAATACTTAAAACCCCAACTCTACTGTTAAATATGAAAAACCTTATTTTAAGTGTATTAAATTTAATCAAAACCTAATTTAAAACTAAGCCTATAGCTAAAGTTTGCAAGTTAATGTTGAAATTTAAAAAATATATATAAAGTAAACATGTACACTTAGATGAATCGATAAAAGTTGTTTGTGTCCTTGTGGTTGTGTGTTTTTAATTTTCAAATTGAGTTTGTTTTGTTTGTTTTTTTTTAATTTTCAAAAAAATCAGAATCAACTGTTCGTTTTACATATATATGGAGAATAAGAAAGACTTACAACCCAAGATGTCGGCCTTCTTCCACCTTGCGTACTGAAAATTTGATCGAATTCTTCGTAAAAGCGTTCTGGACAAATGGCTGCCTGAAAAAATCTACAAGTATGTTTACTATTTCCAAAATCAATGAAACTAGCGAGTGGATGAGTAAACGTTTAATAAGGTCAGAAAATATTTTAAGACAATTTGAAATCGAAACATTCCAATAAATTTAATGACGGGTGTCAATAAAACTGTAACATTTACACATAAATCTATGCAAATACATATCTGACTAAACTGATTATTATGAATAACAATGCATTTTAAAATTTATTAACTGACTTCGATATTTTTTCCAATATTCTGCAAGATTATTTCCCTGTTATAATTGGCACTTTTTGCATTGTTTAAAATTTGAACTTCAAAAACGATAAAAATTTTTATAGGTCTAGATTAAATAATACAAATCTTTTATGCTGATTGTGATGAAATGCGTTATTTGTGATTGTCAGTAGTTTTATATTCTAAATAAATCTCACTAAAACAGCAACTGTAGAAAATTAAAATTCAACAAAAATCAGCTTCAATATTTAGGATTCAAAGTTGCTGAGATACATTCAAAATCAATGGAAATCTATGCACAATCAAAACCAGTGGAAATATTTTGGCCAGGTTAATTGGACAAAGATCGTTACAGGTTCATCACCTTACAGATGGCAAAATATCTCACAAAACCGCAAAATAATAGTACAACAGTAGGGGGGAAAAATTGATAAAATGATACAGAACTTTCTCAAGCTGTAATTAAAATTAAAAACATGACATGCCTCAAATCAAATTCTCATCTTTTAACATATTATTCATGTAGAATTTACTGGGAATCGCTTGAGTATATCAAAGTTGACCAAGACACAAATCCAAATTACTGCTTTGGAAAATCAAGTTTTCTTGAGCAGCACACAAGCTCATCACGAAAAAACGAACCGACAATGTTACTGAATTAGTCAGATACACAAATAATTGATTTCACAATCATCATCAGCATAAACACGTTTGAATTATCTTTTATTATTTCAAATTTTAAATATCCTTTATAAATAAATAAAAATGTGTGTCAAATAATAAAAGTTACGACGGAATTTAAATAAGAAAGGCATTTATTCTCTTTGGGTTTAATCGTAGCTTTCAGTGTTGATTTTTTTAAATTTAGAATATAACGTGAAAACTCACAAGATAACAAATCAACTGGCTAAGATCAGCTTAATCATTGATGTGATGGAAAAATTTAAAAAAAGCACTGCAAAAATTAAAAAATCGAGATTAAAATTTTAATAAAATAAGACATTTCACAATGTCAGGCAAGATGGCTTGCAAGCTAAAATAAAAAACAATGTCCCAGACACGAATAGGATCATACAACCTATAACAACAAAATATTGTCGTTAAATTTGGAAAACCGTAGAACACAAAAGTTAGTATAAAAGAGTGTGACAGAGCATCTTCTTAAGCCCATTATTATAATTCTGCACCCTTGGGGCAAAACCAGATAAATCGAATTTTGGCTAAATGTGTACTCATTACGGCTAATAGGATGTGCTTAATTGATTAAGCCTAAATGCAATGTTTCTTTTTAACCACCTGAAAACATTTTGATAATTCTACTTGCACCAAAGAGCTAAACTTTAAAATTGTGTTGAATTTTTTTTAACATCTAATTTTTCCCCAAGTGTGCAGAATTATCTACTCTGTTCTTCTATCTACGGAAATAACAACTGTTCAATTATTGCTGCTGATTTTGATGAAGACAAATGCCAAGCCACTGGATGCAAACTAGATTAAAATTGATGCAACATTGGAGTTTAAAAATAAATATATGAAAGTCTAACTTGGAAAGTGGAACAATTTATTCCTCAAGATGAGTAAGTACATCAGTTTAGTACTCAAGTGCGTTCGACAAAGTTTATCTTTTCGCAGTAAACAAAATTCGAAAAACACTCTTCCACAGAACAGACAGAAGATGGAAAAATGCCGAAACGCATCTCAGACAAAATCAGCGAAAATATAGGCAGACCAAGATGATAGGTAACTATCAAATTATACGTTATAATCCTTATTGATGGGAAAATCAAAACTTCTATCAGACCTATTGAAACCAAATTTGAAGAATTCTTCATTTCAAATAAAAATATACAAAATATGGATTTTGCGAATATAACATGCACTCTCACATATGCAAAACTCTATTACACAAAGATTTAGATGTACAACGCGTCATAAAAGATTTGTATCAAAGATTCCACGAAATTATGTCTAAGACAGAGAGGATTTCAGTCAGAAACCAGGTTTAATAACTTTTAACTATTTTTTCTTATCAAAACAGAGTTTTAAATTAATAAAGTCAGCTAGTGGGCTACACCCTCGAGACAAATTTCAAGATTTAATTTTTCAAGTATTTTTACAAATAAGCAAACTATACATAACAAGCTCGTTAAATGAACATAGAAAATGCCATTCCACCCTTTTTTATGATGATAATAATAAAAAAGTATACCATTTTTCACTGTAAACCACTGATTTCAAGATTTGGAAATTTTTGCCAATAGCTGGAATACACTTGTTAAGGTTTTTTTAACTTTTTTTTTACATAGTTTGTCGGGTAAATATTTGACTGAGCCAAAGTAAACTCTGTCCTGTGTTTTTTACCTATAAAACTTCTTTTACAAAAATGAAATCAGTGGTTTTCCTTTAGAATTAAATTTTAACCCATTCTCATGGTCCAGTACTCCTTGTATTTATTGGTTTAACTTAACCTTTCCCAATTATTTGATGATTAATTATGGTGTTAACATCATTATTTTTATTTTTTTAATAAATTTCTTTTATTTTTATTTTAACATTGTTTTCATTTTTAAATATTTTCGGCAGAGTATTGTTATGAATTTGAAGACACTTGAGATTATTGATCTATTTGATTAATTTAATTTATATTAAAAATCCCAATGTGCTACATTTATTTCTAGGGGGAGGGTTAAAAATGGATTATCATTATTGACAGGAACGTTGAATCACTTTTTGAAATGTATTCTATTACAGATCATTTTTGAAGTACTGACATTTAATTTTTTTTAACTGTAGTGTATTCAATAATTTGGATTACGGTTAATCACCAGTAATTTTTTTTTCTTGTCTTTATAAATTTTTTATTATTAATAATTTATCAATCACTAAAACAATACAAAATTGATTTTCCGTACTGAAAATTTTTAATTTATCAGACTGCAAAAACTTTGGGACTGGACTGAATGAGTTAACTGTTTATGGGGAAAATTTGAAACATTATCCAAACCAAATTTATCAATGGGCATATTGATTCGTAATTGATTTTTTCATATTTTCCCGAGGCGCTCAAAATAAAAATTAAAAAGAAAAAACATTTCAAATGTCAAATAGTACATAGCAGTATATCACTGTTTCATGAAATAAAACCAAGCCATTGAAAATACATTGAGTAATATTAAGTATGATTATAGATAAACACCGGAATCATAAAAAATAATAATATTAAATAAATAAACAATGAAAAATACTTTTTTTTTATATTTCTTATGTGTCTATGAGCTATGAGTTGAGTACTAATATTACTTCCTTGCTGTAGGAAATAAATACTCAATATTATAAAATATCATGAAAATAAATATTTTTTTTACCTAGAAAAGGTGTTTACATAAAAATGGACTAACAAAAAAACAACTTCTCTTCAAAATCAATATGCCAATTTAGAACAAAGAGCATATAGGGTGTCAATGGCTTAAAAATAAAGACAATTAGGAATCACAGATGTGTCGAGAGGCAGCAAGGATTTTTGTCCCCGGATTGCTTGAAGATGTAAAAAATAAATTAGGAAAAGAGGTGAAGTGGACATTTATTTCCAATCACAACAGTTTACATATCACAATTGTTGAATAAAACTAATTCTACAATTTTATTTTCTCTATAAAAAAAGAATTGTGTTTTGTTTTTTAATAATTAAAAAATAAAACAGGTTTACATTATCTGTTGGTATTAAATTTGTTTTAAAAATAATAGCACTCTTTTCTTCACTGAAGACACTTTTCTTAAACTAGAAACTAATCATTGTACACAATTATCACTTTTGCAAAATTCAGTTCAAGTGTACAACTTTTTCTGTGTTTTTCTTTTTTCTCTTTTTTTTATTCTATAAATATGAAGCTTAAAACTAATTTTTCATAGCACCAAAAAATTAAAAATAAATAGGTAAATACTACTACAAAATAGTCTACATTGTTTTAGTCTACAGAGCAAACAATTTTCAACACAATAAAAATACAAAAAAAGACTAGAAATTGTTATATAAACAGGTTTATTACGCATAATTCTGTTTTCATGTCTTTATTGGTGAATCAAAATCAAAAACAAAAAACACTGTTCACAATATTTTTCATGTTTCTTCATGTAAGAAGTAAAATACAGAACATGTTCTATTACAAAAATATGCCTTTCAAAATATTTATTTTCTTCTTCAAACTAGATTTTATCACAGAAAGTTTCTTGTTTAATTACTACTCTTCCTTACACACTAATAATAAAGACACATCGATATCACAGATAATATATTTCTTTGTCTTCTTTATTTACAGAATATATTTTTTGTTATATTATAAAATCTATAGTTTGGAAGGGGAGAACTATATATGTATATATATAAAGAGAGATCAATGACAAAAATAAAGATATAGAAATATATACTTGTATATATGAAAGCAATGATTTAAAAGATAAACATTCACTTTTTAATTTAGTAAATCAAAATTCGTTTTGCAATTTTTGAGATTTTTTAATGAGGGGGTGCCTAGGGGTGATGGTGTTTTCGAAAAAAAAATCCCATTTGTAAGTATGGATTCGAACCCAGGACCTTTACAATGATGAGCATCGGGTCAATGTTTAACCCCCATCCCCATGATATTTATTTAGAAGAACATTGATAGATAAGCTAGGGGGAAAAAACGTTGAAATTTTTTTTAAATTTTTTTATTACATTACATAACTGCTTTATGCAAATGGAGCAGAATGGCCATTTTGAAAATTGAAATATAAGTTTTTTTTCATAATTAATTTTGAAGAATAAATAATATTGCAGCCTTCAACATTATAGATATCAAAAGGATTTGTTTAAGGTTCGGAGTCAAACTACAAAGGTTCAAACTAAAAATTTTGACCTAAGCAAAAAATCACCTGAGTATTATATACGAATTGTGGTAACTTTAAACCAGGCATATCGTTTGAACCATTGCTTCATATATTGGTAAACCATCTGAGACAAGAATAACCAAATAGGAAAGAAAAAAATATATAAATACCTTGTATAGTCGGACGTGTAATAATCCGAAGGTTTAACAGCGTGCCTCCTCCTTTCGACAGTCTTTGACGCATTGTGGCTATGTAGTTCGTCTTTGTACTTCTGGGTGTAATATCTGGGAAAATAAAGAAAAGGTTTTCTTTTATTGGCCAACTAATGGATATAGCGAGTTAACAGCCAAAAAAGTCAAATACTCGAGGGCTTTTCACTATGCAACAAACTAATGGATTAAATTTTCACTTGGATAAAAGCAAAGTCAAAATTTAAAGTTAGTGTTAAAATTTTGAGTATTATGCAGAGTGGGGGGGTTGACGGTCAAATACCAGATTTCACTTAATTCTGGAACAAACGCTTATTTCCAATCAACCTGATGAGTGCTGAACTTAAGGTTGGATTAGAGTTTAAACTATTTTTTTTTTAAATAAAAATAAATAGTAAATGTTGTGCATTAATCAAACCAAAAAAATAAAAAAGTAAAACGCCGAAGCCCAAACAAGATTAACATAAACTAGACATATTGGAAGACCTAGACCTGGAATTTGCAAACTTTAAACTAGATATAACGTTCAAAACATGCTAAGGAGAATCAACACATTCAAAGCAGCAGATCCCGTACTACCACTTGAGCTATTGTGTCTTCAATCCACTCGGACACTAACTTCCCAACTGATGAATTTTTCCTCCTTTTTGCCATTTTTTCAATGTTCGAATCCCACTAGTGACACTGACTTTTTTATTTCAACTAAAATCCTTAATTAATTGAAAGATATTAATTGGTCAAGCGGACCACGAAAACTAGTGAATTTAATAAGTTAAACTGAAGTATATCTTCACTTAAGCTCTCCGTAGCCATTTTATTTGTCGCTGAGAATCAAATAGATTACATGACATTTGAAAAATGGCAAAAAGGAGGGAAAATTCGAAAGGTGGTGTTGAAATGGGAAGTTAGTGTCCAAGAGGATCGGAATCACACTAGCTCAAGTGGTAGAGAACCGGTGTATCTAGCCGAAGGTTGTGGGTTCGAATCCCGCTTGTGACACTGACTTTTTTATCTCAACTAAAAACCTTTTGAAAGATATTAATTGGTCAAACAGACCACGAAAACTGATGAGTTTAATTTAATTATTAAATTAAATTTGGTTATTATAACAATAATGGTAAATTCACTGATTTCGTGGTCCGCTTGACCAATTAATATATTATAATTAATTAAGGTTTTTTATCTCAACAAAAAAATCTTAATTAATTATAATAATGGTAAATATAAAAATATATTTCTAAGGAATTTAAATTTTTTTAAATAGTTCTTGCTAATTTTTGGAAATGGAGTCTTATTGGGAAGAGATCTGTGAAACGAACAAGGCAAAAATGGTACAAAAAGTTGACCTTTCACCTCTTCCAGAGACACTTCCAACTGAGTTTCTTTTTTTGATAGTTATTCTCAATTGGACGGAAAAAAAACTAAGCTAGCTTCAATGTCTGGAGGACAAAAAGGACAAATCCTTTATGTAAATTGCAGCAAAAGAGGGCGAGGTAGGAAAGTGAGAGCATGTTTCTACTGCCCAGGTAGTAGCACCGGAGACAGAAAAATTACGCTGTACAATCAATTCTATTGAGAAGTCCAAAAAATAATGCAGGTATTTATGTTTTCTTTCAATTACCCCTCAATATAATAAACTGTTTACATTTGGTAAATTATTCTTTGTACTAATGTCAACACGTTTTAATCCTCTTCCAAACAAAAATGTTTGTTTACGTCGTTTACATTTCATTACTTGTCTTTACTAAGATGTCAATGCATGATTTTCGCATAATTTCGTTTTACGAGTTTAAACTTAGTTGGCACGGGGCCCAAACAGCCAGAAACATTAATGAATCTGGGAAAACAGCTATGTGAGTGAGAGCACCGTTCAGAGATGGTTTAAAATATTTTAAGAGTGAGACTTTAGCCTTGAAGGCAAAGAGGGTTGTGGAAGGATTGCTTCCATATATGATGAAGTTCTGCGAGCTTAGGTCGAAGAAAATTCCAGAACTGTTCAAGAACTTGCAGAGAATCTTTTAAATAGCAAATCAACCATCACAGACCACTTTAAGGCAATTAAAAAGGTGAAAGGTCAAAAGTTAAGTTCCTCATGAATTAACTGACTGCCAAAAAAATCATCAAAACCAAATAAAACTCCTCTCGTGAAACAAAAACAGAATTTTTTCTTTCTTTCTTTCTTCTGTGTGTTTACAGAATTTGTTTATAATAAAGACTCAAAATTCTACTCAGAGAGTATAGAGAAGTTGCCATTTCTACATACCTTTTCTAGGTAGAATTGTTACTTGTGATGAAAAGTGGATTCTCTATGATCACAGCAGATGTTCTGGACAGTGGCTCGATAAAGCCACATTTTCCAAAGCCCCAAGTCATCAAAAAAAGGTAATAGTGACTCTTTGGTGGACTTCATTTGGGCTGATTTTCTACAATCCTGGCACAAAACAACCAATACCGAAACGCATTGCTCTCAAATTAAAGCAAATCACCAGAAATTGGCATTCAATAATCTCATCGAAGCCATCTTTGGTCAATCTGAAAAGGCCGATTCTGTTATACGACAATGCTCGGCCCAGTGTCTCATGTAACAACATAACAACCATTGGATTTCGGTTCTGCCTCACCCTCCCTATTCTTCAGACCTCCCACCTACCGACTTCCAATTTTTTAGACACCTAGACAACATTTTACAACATAAAAATCGATCAAAAGTCATTAGAAAATGTGTTTACAGAATTTGTTTATAATAAAGACTCAAAATTCTACTCATAGGGTGTAGAGAAGTTGCCATTCCCATGCAACTTCAGTGATAATTCATGATGATTACAATGAATAATCATATTATGATGATTATTCACGAATTATGATCATTCAAACAATGATCAATTAAATCATCCATTTAATTGATTTTCTTTTGAAACTATAAACCTGGATTATTTTCTGGACAACCCAATAAATTGTTAGATTAATTTTTCTTAATAATTTTAGTTAAATAATAACATTTTATGCGAATAGTTTGTAATTATTAATTTGTAAATAGTTTGGATTTATTGTTTAGTTTTTATTTTTTTAAAGAAATTTATTGTAAATTATTATTTATTTCTAGAAAGAAATTTCAACCTTATTCCCTAATTGATTGTATATAATAGATTTTTGATTTATTTAAGATATTTATTGTAAATTATTATTAATTCCATTATATTTAGTGGTCTATTGATCAAATTACTTCTTTCAATTAATCTTTTTGCATAAGATTTTAGTTGAAATGAAAAAGCTAGTGTCATGAGCGGGATTCGAACCCACGACCTTCGGCTTCATGGGTTCGAATCCCACTCGTGACACTAGCTTTTTCATTTCAACCAAAACCTTACACAAAAATAACTCAATAAATTTTTTATCTCAACCAATACCTTACATAAAGATTAATTAATTGAAAGATGTAATTTGATCAATCGGACCATGAACTGTAACGGGCTTACGGAAAAAGATTAATTAATTATTATTAATTATTTAAAAAAATCTTACTCCCTTCAAACAATGACAAAACAACTAATTGTCAAAGTTGTTTTAATTTAGATAAAAGATAAACAATTTAAATATTTTTTTCCATGTTTTATAATTAAGACCATTGAAAAAAAATGCGACCTTGGAAAGTTGACAGTGTTTCAGGCTCCCACATTGAACGTGTTAATGTAACGAATTAACATATTGGCTAAAACAGGTATTTTTATGTAACAATAACGATTTAAAAGAATGGGCCACACATCAAACCTAGGCCTTGACGATTCCAAGCCCTGATGCACATATGATTATTGTGGGCCCTGAATGACATTTCTAGCATAAGACTCTAACATGAATAATTTCCAATGTTTTTTAAGCAAGAAAATAAAATCAAAATTCATAAAGAGAATTGCCATTTTAACAAAAGTTGCATACAACGAATGAATGATAGTAAACGGACAAGCAAAGAAAGAGAAAAAAAATGACATTCCTAATAATTATAATTCATGCTAGCACATAAACAAAGTTTATGACACAAAAGCAACAAAGAGATTTTGAAAATATGAATTGTAAACATACAATAATTCTACAAACCAAACCAACAACCCAAGTAAAATCAGTATGAAAGAAAAAGAACTACCAAATGTGTCAAAAATGAACTAAAAATTCGCATGTTTTATTTGACAAGGAATGAATTAATTATAAAATGCCAATGTGACCAAAATAAGGCTCACCAAGACTTTTTGATCTTTTCAATTTAAAAAAAAAAGTTTTGTTCGAGAAAGAAGTGATTTTATGACGGGCAAAGCTACTTTTTTTAAATTCTCAATCAACTCACCTAGAGGGAGAAGAGCTCCTGTAGCTCGGCGAATGGCGATATTCCCCTCTCCTCCGCACCGGGGAAAGATGGCGTTCTCGGCTTGGAGTTCTATTCAAGCTTCTATCAGAATAGGATGACCTTCAATTAGAGAGAAAGTTCAAATGAAAATTCGAATTTCAGGGAAAATTGAGAAAGCAAAGGAAGAGATTCATGACACGAAACTAAAACAAACTAATCTACCCCTGAACTAAAATAGAATCAGCTTACTGGAGTTCAACTACGGTTAATAATATTAAACGAGCGAAGACAAACGAGACTCACCGGCTCATAGAGAAAGAGCGGCTCCTGCTCCTTGTCCTCTTGCGCACATGATGGTGTGCCGACCTGGATCTCGATCTCGATCTAGATCTTGATCTCAGAGATCTTGATCTTGACCTTGATCTTGTCCTTGATCTTGGGGTCCTGGACCTAATCCTGGCCCTCGTCCTGGAAGAAGGAGATCTAGAATACGACCGTGAAGTCGATCTGGATCGTCTTTTTGCCCTATTCTGTCTGTCCTTGTCTGATATATACTGGCGATAGCATTGCAGAGGATCATCCAAAGCCCTGCAGAATGAAAATAGATTAAAACAAAAAAGGTCTCTTGTTTAAAAAAAATTGAAATGTCACAAAAAACTTACCCAGCAGGTGGTAGAACACCATTCTGTGATCCTGAGTACGGTGTCCATGGCCTCGAACGATTGTTGTGAGGAGCCCGGTGGCCGTATTCATCCACGTCTGGAAGATATGGTGGCATGACCATACCGCCTGGAGCTCTCCATCGTACAGGAGCCACCTGACGATACATATAACTGCCTGAAAAAAATAAAAAATAAAAATAAAGACGTATGAATATAAGCTAAAATGTTCCTCTTAAACATTCTAGTGCCACCAGAATTTGCTACCAGTGCTTTCACAAAAATAAAACCTGAAAATGAGGATGTCTATAAGGTTTCTTGCTAATCAATTCTTCATGGAATAGAAAAATATTTTTAACCATTTGTACATGAAATTCAAACACAACCTGTTCATTTTTTCTTTGGCCTCAATGAATTTCTAACAAGTGCATTTTATTTTCTTTAATTTGAACTAAAGAATAATATAAAAACGTTTTTTCCTTTTTGAATAAATTTATATATTAATTGTTGATTAATTGACATCTTGAAAAGCATGAACATAAGAAGTTGCCTCGTTGACATTGCAGCAAGAAAAATTAAGACCAATCCTTTTAACAATAACATTTTAAAAAAATTCAGCTCCTTTCACCCAACACAGCCCAAAAATTAGAGTTGTTAAAAAATATTCCATTTTCCAAAACAAAATCACGAAAAATTGAAAGAAGCGATTTGAAAAAAAAAAAATCCCCAAAGCTCCCATTCATCAAAAAAGCATTTGTTCCACAAATATATGTATATGTTTAAATGTTTTAAAACATCCATATTAAACATGGAACAGTGAAAAACAAAAAAAGTCTACTCTCAAAAACTACTAAGCTATAGATTCTTACGCTGTTTGGGCTCAATACTTTTATATGACGATATATGTAACAGTTTGAGGGGTATTCTCGATAATTTTTTTCTTGAATCGCTTCCTTTTCTCATCGATACTTTATGATCCATGGAGCTCGAGCATTCTTTGTCTGCAACGTTCCATCAAGATTAAAGAGAAAATTTAAAAAAAGAACCCTCCCTGAACATCGACCTTGTATTTAGAAACTAATCTAAAATGATTTAGAACTTTACCGTGGTTGTACATCTGCATCAACTGCGGCATTTGTGGAACCATCCTCGGCGGCACCATTCGTGGCGGAACCATCCTGGGGCGCATACTACCTAGCAATTCTATCTGATAGCGCTTCGACGGTTCCATGTGGTTGTGTTCGTCGACCGTCGGAGTTCCTGACCTCTCATGGCGGCTGTGCAGTAATTATAAAAAAAACATTAAACGATAAAGAACCCGACCTAATTGAAAAATAAATAAGAGGAAAAAGTTTAATAATTTTGTCAAGCAGATAAATTTTTAAATACACAAGGGTTTAACATGTAATTTTTTTAATACTAATTATAATAACAAGCTTAAAATTATTTTAAATCATTACTTACCCTTTGTTAAGTTCAAACAAAATTATTAAACTTAATCATTAATGATTACTCCATTTACATAAAGGATTGTGGATTACTCATGTTTAAAAAAATTGAATCAATAAAACCAAAGCTGTCTTCAGGAACGCCAGAGAGCGAATTTTGTTTTTCACAAATGGTGAGCAAATCATTCTAGATCTTACCTTGACCGATCAATCTTGCTAATCAATGTAGATGGTATGTATGGTTAAATATATCAAAAACTTACCTGAGGCAATGAATCCCATATCTCTTATCTCGCATTCCAATTTTTTTTTTTTCCAAACAAGAGACATGAATAAAATAAACCAGTTCTACAGGAAAAGTTATAGGGAAGCCACAATTTTCTGAGTGTTTGTTGTGGACACATTGTCTTGGTATTACATTATTATTTTACTATAAAAAAATCACTTACTCTACATTTTCTTTTATTTTACTTCAGCTCTTTCACTCTTCTTGCGTATACTTAATTCAAATTCAGACAATTAAAATTGTACAATTGTTTGAATCAATGATGATTGCTTTTTAAAATAAAAAAATCAATAATACTTTTAAATGTGTAATACTGAGCAAATTATTAGCTAAATTACACTGTATATTACCAAATGCGTTACAATCCAGTGAGATTTCAAACCAATTACTGAGTCTTAACAATTATTCAAAATGATTCTAACTTCACAAGGTCTAAGTTATTTGTTTTTAAGCGAAGCTGTTACAGGAGAAACAAAAATCGTTCAGAAACGTCCTGACCATGCCATCAGCGAGAATTTTTTTTTTTTTTTTAAGCAACTGCCACCAGTAATAAACAATCCTGTTGCTACAAATAAAAACAGAAAGTAATACTGACAAAACTGTAACTTACTTGAAATTGAAATGCGATTTGTCTTTTCTCACATGGTGGGTCGTTTCCTCACCTTTAAGGCAAATGTTAGGATTAGGTTGGGAACGTGAATAATCGGCAATATTTGGAATGGGCAGGAGGTTCTCCTCGACAACGGTGGTGTTGTTCGGGTTTTTTGGGTTGAATTTGACGTTAGATTTGGATGTGGTTGTTAGCGGGTTGCTAAGTGAAGGAATGGCACTGCCCTGAGGGTGGGATTGCTCGATGGGGTCTGGAATCGCTGGGAAAGGAGTTACGACGGAGCTTGATGAATCCTCTACAATTTCTAGTTCTGAAATTAAAGCATAAAACAGAAAAAATTGAAGCTAATATTTATTTCAAAAATGAATGTCTTCTTTTCTTTTTTTGGGAGGGGGTTGTTTCTCTTTTTATGGTGGTTACTTTTCTTCTCACTCTTTGCATTTTATTTCTTTAAGCATGCATTATTCCTTCACTTTGCAGTACAATGTCACTCTGATTTGATTAAATAACCACCAACAACCACCTTCACTGAGATATCCTTCAATTTTCAGAAAATCCAGATTACTCTTTTCCAATGTTCACATGAAGCTTGTTAAGAAAACATTGAGATATTTATAAAAGATAATGTAAAAATAATTAAATAAATCTTCCTGCATAACTCATTTTATTTAGAAACGTACATAAAAAGCACATTGAATCACATTACACAATAAAACAATAAATAATCTTCTTATATCTCTTTACAATTTTTTTAATTATTTTTTTTTTAATTTTTTTTTTTTAAAGGAAGTTTTATCCACTCGCAGTCTTCTTGAGATCAAAAATTTGTACTCAAAATGCTTTATGACTTAGATACAAATATCATATCATAGAAATATTTCAGCCTCACAGTGACATAATTAAAAAGAATCGCCAACTTTTTTATCACTAAAATTTTGTTGTTGTTTTTTTCTCGCCTAATTTAATGTTAAATATCTGAGGGGGGAAAACCTGAATTATAATGTTCGCTAGATTAATACAATCCTTCAACTAAGTTTAGTGACAAATTATAAATTTTATTGTTATTAGCCAGTAAAAATCAAAACCAAATTATACTCCCAACACGATACCTCCTAAATTTACATTAATATTAAGCTTAACACCTGGTAGAGGAGATGTAAAACAATTCAATAATAATTGCCAATTTTTATTTTCATATTTTTTGCATCAATGTTCAGAATGGAAGATAAAAAGAATGTGAGGAATGCAGAAAGTAGTTTGTTATCTTATCGGAACAATGAAGTGAACTTCCTCAATGATACAATAAATGTGACTTGGTAGAAAAGTTGCAAAAAAATTGTCAAGCCAAAATTGCAGTGTTGTAAACCAAAATAGAAGCATTAAATAAATTTACAACTAAATATTTAAGTCACAAAGCATGAACCTTTACTTACTAAAGAAAAATCTTATAAAAAAAAGGTAGCTTTCTTGAAATTCATAAATCGTCCGGTACTTCCAGCTTGGAGGCCAGACTTGCGTCGCTGAGGGAAAATGGAGACATCCTCCTCCAGGAAGCTCTCTCGGATGACAACCCAGAGGAGGACACACCCAGTCAGGCAGCACTAAGGGAAAAAATGAATGAATCAATGGTTGGACCTCATGATCCATGGACACTAGCTGAGGTGGATAGAGCTACGTTAAGAAAGGCGAGTGCCCCTGGGCACGACGGTGGAGAAGCCCGCGTAATCGGCGCAACAGCAGATACAACCAATGAATATTTTCATCAAGTGTTTACTAATTGCCTCAGGGTCGGTTATTTTCCAACCGCCATATGTGCCTTTCTAAAGAGTGGACACCCACCTGAGCTCCCAAGTTCCTACAGGCTCATTTCCCTTCTTCCTGAAATTGGAAAGGTCCTCGGAACCCTAATACTAAATTGCGTCAGAAGTACTGAAAGTGGAGGGCTGCACCCTAATCAATACAGTGGAGTCCCAGAGGTAAATCAACGACACCATGCAATCTGCCAACTCCAGAACATTATAAGTATTTCAAATGAAAAGTATGCGGTTGGCATCCTGTTTGACATCTGCAAAGCTTTCGACAGAATGTGGTGGCCAGCAGTATTTAACTCGCTCCGGCAAAGACTCTTCCCTGCAGAACGACTCCAACTGGTCAAGAGCTACCTGAACCAAAGGAAAGCATACCTGGAATGTGGTGAGGTCACATGCAGCCAGAACATTAGCATGGGTGTCCCCCAGGGCTCAGTACTGGGTCCGTATTTGTGGTCGGTTCTTTTTGATTAGTTACTGCATACTCTCAAAGAGAGCAAGCTTCCTGGTCATAGCTTATGTAGATGACCTATTTGTCGTTATCCTCGCGAATACAAAACCGGCCGTTGAAAATCACGGGGCGTCAGTAGTCGATTTAGTACAGAATTGGTGTCATATGGTCAAATTGCAACTCACAATGGAAAAAACTGAGCACATTCTACTAAATGGATCCTTAAGCCTCAGGACCCCCCCCCCCAGTCATTACGCTCTAACGGGGGTACTATAAAATCCAGCCCTGACGTCAAATATTTGGAGGTGCAGCATGGCCGAGGAATGTGCTTTCCCATTCACACACGAAGCACTACAGCAAAGGCGGCGCAGACGATTGCACGAATCAAGTCGATATGTGGCCCAAGCTGTGGCACGAGTAGAATCACATTTTATCATGCCCTAGGCGAGTCAATAGTCTTATATGCTGCCTCTGCATGGACAAGGAAGCAGAAATCTGCAGATTGGAGATGCAGCCCAGAGGAGCGCATTACTTCCTGTAACACAAGCCTACAAGACGACGTCAACAGTAGCATTGCAAGTCATCGCTGGGCTACCACCCATAGACCTTAAATGTACAGCCATAAATGCATTTGGGACCTGAAGAATGGCCACCAACCGACCATTCCTGCTGAAACAATTGATGAAATAAAAGCATGGGTCCTCCAAGAATGGCAGAAAAGATGGGACCACTCCACAAAAGGGAGGCAAACGCATCGCATATTCCCTAAAGTTAAGGAGCGCATGAAGATGTCGCACATATATCTCGATCACTTCGTAACACAGGTCCTCACAGGACAATGTGGACTTCAACTCTAAGCTTCATTATTTTAATCTTAAAGCATCGCCGGCATGTGGTAGCAATGAAGAAACAGTGGACCATTTTATCTTCCACTGCCCCTTGCACTACTCGGCAGCTAAAACAAAATGGCTTAATGAAATGAAACAAACAGCCTTGTCTATAAATAGTGACCTATAGAGAACAATGGTCGAAAAAGAAAATTATGATGCCACAACAAAGTTTGTGCATAGTGCCATGCGCAACAAGGGTTGCCTGCAGGCAAAGCAGAGGCTTCAGACCAATAATGACGTCTAAACTTCAATAATGACCTTTTTTTTCTTTCGATGTATTTATGTATATTTTATATATGTATTTTTATGTACATTTTTGTAGTGTATATTTATATATGTATTTTTTATATTGTGTGTATTGTATATATGTGTTTATGTATGTAAGTAATGTGTATATTTATTTTTATGTTTTTATTTATTTTTTTCCCATGATCATCATTAGGAGAACAAGAAACAAGAACAACAAGAATCAAGGAAGGAAAATAAAAGGCCATACCTCCCCCACCTGAATTTTCAATAACCCTACGAGCCGCCTCTGCGAGGCCCATCCCAGACACAGTTGATCAAAAATGATCTCCCCCCCCCCCGATCGTTCGTTTCTGTGTGTTGCAGGACAATTCAGAAGAAAATAACAGATGTCTTTCACCTTTCGAGGAAGAAAATCCACCGGAAGAAACACCATCGACTTCACAACAACAAAAAAGAATGGGAGCTCCACAGAAAGCAGTAATTTCGAAGAAGAAATGTATCTGGAAAGCCAACAACAACTGCAAAGCTATAATAGAATGTTTACTAACCATGATCAAAAGTGGGATAATTCAGGCAATAGACCTTCCTCTACTCGTAAAAACGATATCGAAAACAGTTTACACGATGAAGAAACCATTACCCCAAATCTGGGAGACTTGTTTGACGGCTATGTCACCTCTATTACCTGCAATGAGATCTTCGGATTACGACATAATGGACTGCTCAATGGACAACATCTTCTAAGCAGACTGCTTCACGATATTTGGTACCCCAGAAGACACGGAACATTTAGAGAACTGTGTGCGGACGTGCATAGGAGACTTTCTAGATTCACACAACCAACCGGATTACTCTTCGTCTTCAAACACGAAAACGAATACAGCCCTCACGTCCACTGCGTCCACGATTGCACCTATTCCAACAGATCGTGTAGATGTTATACAATCTCCGATCTCAGCAATCAATACAGGCGAAGGGGACGAAAATGTATCAGGCGGGTCATAAGACGAGGATCTTCCAGTACAACCGCCGCCTACCTTGAAAATCTCCAACGTTATGCAACGTTGGAACAAAGGCTTAGGATGTATTTTTCGCTCGGAGGTTTCGGATGGCACTCATCTAATACAGATGAGGATAATGCCTTATGCAGCAGCCAAGAAACTAGAGCGAGGGAAACGTTACCTGACGACGACTCGTTACTTCGAATTTGTGATCAACCGAGTCACACAACCACAAATTTACCGTCAACTTCGGGACTTGTCCAAGTCGGCAGAGTAGCTTGTCAAAAATGGCAAAAATCTCGCTCAGAGTACCGTACCGAACAAATCTTATAATTCATGGAGACCAACCTAACGGTTCCCGATCATGACATTACAGAATCTCAGATATGGCTCTCACATCCAAATTTTAAATTCATCACAGAAAGAGATAATATTTATTGAACAGCTTTAAATGAGCTCGGCAGGTGGGGTTGAGATGCGACCGTTACATAATCACAAGAACTAAAGAAAAGAGAGAGATAATAAGAACAGGAGTGGGGAGAGGAAGGAGCATGGATTTTTTTTTTTTAAATGCTCTTTCTTTCTAACCTCCAAGTTCTAGCTTCCGTCTATAATAAAAAAGCAACACAAAAGCCTAAGAAACTGTAAAGAGCCAGCAACGGCTTTAGGAACAGTACTAAGAAAGAAGGCCTCGATCCATCATCTCGACGTTACGAAACAGCACCGGCCCTTTTCAGGGCAACAAAACTCCCAATACTAAACTGGTGAACCCGATGTGAACACGCATCATGGATGAGGTTGAACCCCAACATTCAGCCTCAGGAACAATCACAGGAATCCTCCCTCCATAGGTCCGGTACCACCCTTCTGGAGAGCGACCCTGCTGTGTGGTTCATCCAAATACAAGCCGT